CAGAAAAAAACTAGAACAAAGTGAACTACTCTAACAATCAAGGAAAATTTTTAAGACCCCAAACAAAAAACAAAATACCATACGATTCAAAAGACGTGTAATACAATGTCAAATAACCAGCCCAAAAATACAAGGTAAAATGGCACTTTTATTATTGGTAAATGTGTATAATGCTTCTGTCGGCAAGTTGTACGCTAAATTCATTTTCTGGGATTTTTTAGAATTTTTCACTGTAGCTGTTTCCGAAAGATGAGCGTTTTTCGGAAAATAACTCAAAAAAAAATTTCTTTTTCTTTTGAAACTTTATTAAATGTACTTCATTTGTGCATGAAAGTCATCATGTATAAAAGGGCTTGTCAAGGTAGGGGACTTCAATGCTCAGCATGACCACAACAGCAACAGATGCATAATATAAAAATCAGAAAAATAATACGAGAAGACACAAGTTCTACCAAAGATTTCAAGAAACCAAAAGTTGCTCAGAAAATAAAAAAAATGATAAAACCACGCCTAGTAAATCCTACAAGCACAAACTGTTCTCTCCTCTCCTACTCAGTAACAAGTAAAAATACTCAAAAATATTAACATATTATAACCGTAAAAATCTGTTAAAGAGTACTATACAATTTGTGAAATTACTGTTTCCACCAAAGCTTATAGACAAAACTGGATCAGCAGTATGATACACTGTTTCTCTGTCAAAACTTGAAATGTCGAAAGCGCAAGATGTAATCCATAGAAACTCATAATGGGTATCCTAAAGATCAAGGTCTCTACTAACCCAATCCCATAATACCCGTAAAATCCAAGCCCGACGATTGACAAACATCTGTTTGAATTCTGATCTGTGTCCAATACAATAAATTTAGTATTACTACCGTAATATTGCAATCCTGCCAAGATTAATTATTTCAAAAATTTGAACTTTTCTGTTTTTGCGAATAAGAGCTGTCTTCATTGTCCCGTGTAATTTGTTTGACCGTAAGCTTGGTTTAATTCTTATCTTTTAAAAAACACGACGAATGAATAAAGTAGGTGTATAGCATGGATGTTACAGAGACAGAAGAGCAGTTCTTGGGTGGCAGGTTGAGATATATAGTTTACTGAAGTGCCCTGCAAGTTTTTTCACAGCCGCTTTCACGACTGGATTTTGGTTCCCTGAATAGCTGCAGATAAGTCCCTTTTATTAGGTTATATTTTTCTTGATATGGGACGTTTCTGGTTCAAAAATGGCACATGTAGTTCATAACTGCACGCGGTCAGTAACTATTATTAACGTGGCTGTTAATTGAGCTACGAAATGTGAATTTTTTGATTTCCAGGTGACTTAAAAGAACATTTGGGATAGCAATCCAGTAGTTCACATTTCTCGGTTTAATAGCGTGATTTCGGCAAAAGTCAAAATTAATTTCCTGAATCTGTCGCTGGTATCCAGCACAAACCTTCCATTCAAAGTCGGTTTTCTTATGAAGTAAGAAAGTTTGTTGTTTCTTGACGTCTCCCGCTTGTGTTTAGAATTAGCTGAACTTTCGCCCAGTTATGGCCGGTCAGTACCACTGCGCAGCGTTAAAGATAGGCCTAACACCTTTTATAAACACCTTTTGCTTTCTAAAAATTGAGTTTAGGTATACTGTTTGGCGTATTAGAATTTTTACATTCAAGATTATATCCTGTTCAGACGAGTCGAATAGTGTTGATTGCAAAACTTTTCTGTTAGCTTGTGAAATACTATGAATGTACCGTTTTCGACATGCTTAACAGCCTAAATTTAACTTTTTTCAGCACTTTAAAGTCTTATTTAACTTTTATTTATTTCTTTTGAAAGTACTTCTCCATTTGAGAAGCGTTAATCTACCGATTCGCTATTTTCAAAATTTCAAATCATGAAAACTTTTTCCCACTTATTTCAGCAAGTGAATAAAACATAGTTTTCGTACTTTTCAAACTTTCGTTTGCCACAAAAAAGTACATTCTAGTAAGAACAGCTATTGATGATCATTGAGGCTAAACAACGAGCAAACGGGGCAACCGGTATTTAGGTCGTTAAAATATAGTGAACATAATCTGTTTAAGCGCGAGTAATATGTGGATATATCGTTTTTTGAAGTTGACGACAGAGATGGTTTAAATAAACCCATAAATGGGTTTTTAATTGGCAGGATAATAAAGCAGATTTTGCTTAATCACTGGTGCATCAACGATGAAGAACAAAGAAGACAAAAATTTAGGTACGGCTGCACCTCACCAGTCTGCACCAATGACTTTCAACCCGAAGCTGTAGCCGCTTCCTTGGCCATTAGACAAAAAACGCTTTCTCGGTAAAGAGGCAGTCGTCGATTTAAAACCAATCACTTTTGACAGAGAAAGGCCGGTTACTTATGTGGTGCAGATTAAATGGCAGTATTTGTGGCATAAGCATAAATTCAGTACCGCAATTTTTTGATCTCTGTCTTAAGATTTGTCTCGCTGCATTTCGTTGCCAAAACCTGTTTTCTGAAGATTACTCTTCTCTTAAATCAGCTGTTTTGTGTTTATTACGTTTAGAAAGCTACTCAATCTATAACAGTTTTTTAACTTTTAAGGATGTTGACTTTCAAACGGATGTCATTTTGTAATTACCGCCTCGTCAGCAATGTTTGCTACCTCAAATAGTTTGATAATCAGGAATAAAAATTAGTTTAAGCAATGAGATGTTTTTTTAAATCTTCTGTTCGAACAAAAACAGAAACCCGGTGATAAGCCGAGATAATAGTACGTTAAAGCTTATAATGCAGAAAGGCAAAAGTTGAGCTATTTCATATGGCTTACTAAAAAATGGATTGGAACAGGCAGATTAGACTGGAGTTTCACGACCTTCTGGAGTCCTCCGGATTTCTCGAGCAACAAACTATTACATCCTTTTAATCAGATGGACAAACGTTTTTGACTTTTATGAGTTTCAAAAATTGTACTCAAATAGCTTTATTTCACATTTTGAAATAGCTTCAGAAAATCGTTTTTACCGTCAGATTTGTCTACACCTCATTACTTCCTGACTTTTAATTTGCTAAAGAATATTTTCAGACATCTGTTGTAAATCGACAAAGATTTTTGCACCTAACTGCCATAAACTGGTGATTTATTAAATTAGATTTTTAGAGATTTCTTAGACAATCATTCATTTGCAATTCTAAGAACAGAAAATCTGAAAAGATGATTTCAGATGTGGTATAGATGTCGGTTGCATTGTTAAGGCGTTAAATAATGATAAGTAATAAGTGATTTTGAGAAAAACTTATATGGTTGGTGAATATTCGATGGACTACTGAGTAAATAAAGTTTCTGGGTGTTTTAGATTTTTTTTTTTTTTTT